TGACGACGACGAACGAGGCTTCAGATCTGACGACGGGGAACGATGAGCTGCCGGCGACGACGAACGAGGCAGAGACACCAACACCACAATCGCGATTCCGATCTTATACAAGAACAACACAATTACAGACTCTCACACCCATGAATTCGTGTAGCTCTGATACCATGTTCAAAATCATCATAGAGAGAGAGAGAGCAGACATTGTTGTATATATTTCACTAAAAACCTAATATGCCTATGTAGGCTTATATAAAGGATACAAGTCTTACTTAATAACACGAGGGCCCTACCAACTATATGTAATTACATAATGACCCAACATATATATATATATAACATTCTAACACTACACAAATAACATGTAGTAGTAAGGGAAAATAATTATAAATGTAGAGACTGGAACTCCCCCTGGCGCACACACAAAGAAGGGGGAAAAAAAAAAGACACCCAACACATGTGGGTGCATAGGAGTTAAGTACTTCATAAATATGTCTTAGATAAATGAAGTTCTAACTCTCATAAAGTGTATCGTATGAAAGAGATCCATATAAGGTGTTTCTACAATATAAATTTAAATTGTTACAAATTTGTAAGGGAAATATAAGAGAAACTAAAGACAATCAATACATTCAGTAAAATAAGAACACATTTTAATGAATAATTATTATAACTCGATCTCATTGGTACATAAGGTGAAAAAAAAAAAAAAACACTTTAGCCCCCACCCAAAAGCATAAGAGTACATGAACTTGAACAAATTTAAGCCCCAACTTGTTTAAATGTAGAAAAGATATGCCTTTGAAAAATGAATTTATTAACTCTTAGATATGATAGAGATCCATATAAAGTGTTTCTACAATAAACTAAAACAATAAATTGTTACAAGGTAAACATGACAGAAACTAAAGACAATCTACAAATTTAGTGAGGAAATTATCAGAACTTAATCCTACAAGTATAAATGTTTACCCACAAAAAGATGAAAATTTTGATACTGAAAGGAGTTTTTATCCCCCAAGGAATAAAACATAAAAAATAATTATAAACTAAAACCAAAATATCTTGATATATTGAACAATTTATGCAAAATGACATTTATATGCAATAATTGTCCGCATTTTATGATATTATTAATGCATAGATAGTCAATAGTGAATTCTATACGGGCAGGCAAATTATCCAAAGTTCATACATGCACACATGTAGACAACATACGAAAGCTATAGAATTGAAAAGAACTTTTGATTCATCACAATTTAACATAACACTATGAGAGACACTCATGCTTCCAGAGATTATAGTTTCACATTTAATAATCGAGTTAGTGTTTACAAGTGTTAACCAAAAGAGTAATACTCAACTCATCAAAGCCTTTTCCTAAATACTTGGTATCAGCTACATAAATCCTACATTGAAAACTCAACTCTATTTAAGGCCATCAATTGAATCACATACCATTATATCTTTCCTTACTATCTCAGTTCATGTTAGTTGTGGTCTTTCCCTTCCCCTTCCCCTTCCCAAAAATTACCCTCAATGTGGATGCTATTCCTCGCTGGTACCAATCTATCTTAGTTGATTTTTCTCTTCTTTTTTTTTCTTTTTTCCTCCAATAAGAGTTATTTAAATCATCTCACAAGATCCATGTCAGCATCTGCACGCAAGCCATGTTCATTTCTCTTAACCACCTAACAATCTGTCCATGAGGGTGGAGGTTTGGGATTCAGTGATTCAGCGTTTCGAGAATAGATTGGCCGGATGGAAAAAACAATATTTGTCGAAGGGGGGGGCACTCTGATAGAGAGCACCTTGTTTAGTCTCCCAACATATTTTCTATCCCTCTTTCAGATCCCGTGCACTGTTGTTGATAGATTGGAGAATCTCCAACGGAATTTTCTTTGGGGTGGAAGGGGTGATGAGTTCAAGTATCATCTTGTCAAGTGGAGCATGTTTGCAAGCCATTTCACTTGGAGGGGCTTGGTCTTAGGAGGATGATCCCTTTTAATAGGGCGCTTCTTGGGAAGTGGTTATGGAGATTTGGTAGTGAGAGACATTACTTATGGAGGAGGGTTATAGCGTGCCGCTTTGGGGAGAAGAGAGGGGGATGGTCTTCCAAGCTGGTGAGATCTATTGTCGGCGTGGGAGTGTGGAAAGCTATTCGTAAGGGTTGGGATGAGCTCTCTAAGCATATTAGATTCAAAGTTCGGGAGGGCAGGATGTTAGGTTCTGAGAGGATTATTGGTGTGGGGATGTCCCCCTGTCTCGATTGTTTCTAAGACTATTTAGCATTGCTACGGATAGACATGCTATGGTAGCTGACTATTATCGGCTTGATAGCGGTAGGCTTGCGTGGGATGTGAGTTTTCGGCGATCTTTCCAAGATTGGGAACTTAAGGATGTCCTTGGCCTGTTAGATCTTTTGTATAGACAGGATGTGGATGACAGAGGGCTTGATTCATTGGTTTGGAAGCCTTCTCCTCAGGGGAGGTTTGATGTTCGCTCTTTTTTTCTTTGCCTCGCTGGTTTTCAGGGAACTAGTATCCCGTGAAAGACGGTTTAGCGTTCAAAGGCTCCTCTCAGGGTGGCATTTTTTTTTTGGATTGCGACTTTGGGTAAAATTTTAACTCTGGACAATTTGAGAAAGAAAAGACGAATCATAGTCAACTGGTGTTGTATGTGTAAGAAGGATGGAGAATCTGTGGATCACCTTCTTTTGCATTGTCCTATGGCTTATGATTGCTAGAGCCTTATTTTTGGTTTGTTTGGTATTCATTGGGTTATGCCTCGGTCTTCAAGGGAGTTGATTGATATTTGGAGGGACCAAAGGGTGGGGGCTCATGCTTGTAATTGTTGGAGGGTGATTCCCCTTTGTGTTTGGTGGAACATCTGGAAAGAGAGTAACAAAAGATCTTTTGAGGGGGAGGAAACTCCCATTGGGACGCTGAAATTTTCTATTATTAGTTCCCTTTTTTGCTGGATAATGGAAGAAATTGTATATCTCTAGATGAGATAGTGGACTTTTTGGGTTCTTTGGGTCCATAGGGCTCTATGTTTGGTTTTTTTTTTTTTGTATTTTTCTTTGGTTTATTGTATTTATCTTGGGATGCATTCCCCACTTGAACACTTTCTAATACATTTTATTTATCAAAAAATATATAGATAGAGAAATATTACATGCCTAATAACCCTTTTTACAATAACATAGAAAAGATGCTGCATGGGCCGACTGCACTATGTCCGTTGATAATAAAGCAATTTAGATAAACCAGAACAACTGCCCTCTTTTCTCACTATATACCTTCATTCCAATTAAACTCTGTAGTCAAGGAAAGCACTTTCAAATTATTTATTTAATTATTGACGATTAGTGAATCTGATGCTATCAAGTCTTACGATCCACCTGCAAATAACACAACACAATAGAATCATACAAGCTGCTATGGGTATGAGCATACAGACTCCTTATTTTGGGTGCCCTCTCCTCGGGGGAGGTTTGAGGTCCGTTCCTTGTTCCTTTGCCTTTCCGATATCTATGGTTCCGATTTCCCTTGGAAGACGGTTTGGCACTCGAAGGCTCCTCTAATAGTGGCATTCTTTGTTTGGATTGCACCTTGGGGCAATGGGTTATGCCTCGGTTTTCGAGGGATCTGATTGACGCTTGGAGAGGCTGTAGCGTAGGGGCCCACGCTTGTGAATTTTGGAAGGCGGTTTTCCTTTGCATTTGGTGGTATATTTGGAAGGAGCGGAATAGAAGATCTTTTGATGGGGAGGAATCTTCCATTGACGCATGTTGATTTGTTGGGTTACTTGGGTCCTTAGACCTTTTCTATGGCTTCAGCCATTGTATAGTCTTCGGGATGCGCTTCCCTCTTGATCACTTTCTAATATATTCGTTCTTATCAAAAAGATAATAATTTGTGCTAAGCTCGGCAAATTTACATACTTATCAAAAAAAAAAAAAAGGCTCGGCAAATTTACATCAGAAACAAAAATTTACAATATTTCTAAAGCTTAAGACCAACATTAGTAGAACAATTGCAATGAACTCACTCTGTGCCCGAAGGGCTTTAACTTAAATCCAAATAAAACCTTATCTCATAAATTAAATCTGAATGAAGAGTTGAAAACCTCTAGAGAATTCAAAAGAGGCTTCGCGGATTACTTATAACTTTACATGCTGGATATATAATGACACCTGAACAACACGGAATTTCTGTACTAGGGTAAATTTATAATGGTGAAATATAATGAAAAAGAAAATCCTTGACGAAGAGAGAAGTTTTGAGATTCATTTTCTGTCCTCACCTAATCAGCATAGACACTTCTAAAGAGGAGCCCTACCCATGTCAGTTACATGTCAGACAACAACATTTCTTGAACGCTACAAGAAACAGTTCAAACAGATTTTGACATGTCCAAATTCTCTCACAAGTGATCAATATACCGTAGACATTGCATTACAACTTTCTTTTAGTTTAAAACAGCATAGTTTTGAGAAAAAGAGGATTATGTGTTAGTTAATTGAAATGTCTTCATATAATTGAAAACATAAATTCGACATAACGAGAGTTTAGTTAGAGGAGTTAGCATGGTGAAAGAAAGGAGTCCTCAATACTTTATCTGCATGCACATGTATATACATACAAACTCACATAAGAATACATAAATATATTTTTACTGCCATGTCCTTACAATTTTAATGTCAGTTCTTACAAATTTACTATGTCAATGTATCCATAATCCATATTGTCCCATGTCCATGCAATATAGCTCTGAACCCATCATATTATAGCCATTATCGTTTGTCAATTCATTTTTCTTCATGATACTTGAAAAATAAGGTGAATGAGCATAAAAAAGCATTGCAATGTAAAAAAAAAAAAAAAAAGAGGAACTTAAACCAATCATTACAAGCTGTAAGTAATTACACCACCAAATTTACATCTTGGAAGGAGAAAGGAAGAAAAGACAGATCCTCACGAGAAAGACAAAACACTGACCTTCACAAGGCATATGTTCGCTATGGTCCCGATGGGGCATGAAAATGGGATATGCAGCCATGTTTAACGGTGAAGCTGATATATTTGAGGATGATTCCGCTAATTTATCCTGGAGAAGCATGATCTTTATATCAACTAGTTTGTCAATCAACATTAAATCCTAAAGACCTCAATCAATTAATAAATTATAAAGAACCATATTTGTGGTGAGAAACTAACTCAGTGGAGTTGCGAAAATCAGATTCCCTTAAAATGGAAATTTTTATCATTTGTCTACCTATGTTAGTAATTGACTGAAAGTGAATGGACAAGCAACACCAAAAGTCTTGCAGACACAGTGGTATAAATACAACTGTATTCTACTATACAGATTGACACTCAACCAATGCATCTTCCAAAGTACATTGATAAGAGTAATTTTTATCAGTTGAACCTGTAAGTGAATTGAAATTGTAAGAAAGGAGGCTGGAAATGCAGAAGAATATATTAACAAGAAAAATAAATATATTATCTTATTTTAAAGACGTGAGATGGTGACTTACTAGGTGGAAAAAAATCACGAGGCAAGATGGTGGATAAGGTACTTGAGCTCAAGAGAGAATTTGATCCCAGGTTTAAGCAAAAACCAATGATATGACTAAACTCTAAAGACAAACATCTCACCAAGAATAACAACGGGATCCAAACGGGCAACTCAAACATTTTAAGCAAGGCATCATGACAACTATTGTAATTTTTTAAAAGACAAGGTGATGTTTGATCACACAAGGGTATGGTATGTATATATTCTTCATCAGACATCAATATTCCTCCTTGAATTCTTAGGCAACTTCAACTTAATATTGTTTTGACAAATATCATGCGATACAAAAACTGAAAAACCATGTGTGCGTAGCATATGCATACCTTCCTATCTTTCACTTTCTTCCCCACATTTTGGTCTTCGTGTTTCCTTCTCTTTCTCTGTAATATAGTATATAATTAGGTAAGCTTTTTCACTAAACACATAGTCCTAAATCTATTCAAGTGTGCAAATGCATTCTTCCATGATGACATATGTAAATACTCTACCACATGTACGAATAGGCAGGGATGGGGAGTATACACAGATAATGAGCCCATGCATGTAAGACAGGTGGGTTTGCAGGTGGCAGCCATGGTTCGTGGCCCAATATGGTCCACCTGTTATGCCACACATCTATCCGACGTGGTATGTTCTAAGCAGACAGTGCATCAAATGGCAAAGGTCATGCTTTTTGTGGTATTGTTCCACAAAACAAAAAATAAAAAGAAGAAGAAGAAAATTACACTCTTCTGTTGTCAGATGCAAAAACATCTTTTTACTTGTAACGTAATACTGTAAAATGAAACTTTCCAGTTTATTCTCTTGCATTTCATAGCAAACCCTGTACAACTTTTATTTTTTCCCCTTAGAAAACCATGAACTATATTAGCAAGGCTTAATTTGCGATTAATGTGGTCACATAAGAAGAACCCCCAATACCACTAGGATACAGGGCTTGGGGCAAGATTGCAGCCTTTGAATCCATTCAAGTCCACAAACAAAGCACTAAATACAAAATACTTACATGTTGGTTCCAACGAAAAAGTAAAAAATAAATAAAAAATCCAGAATACGATTTCTGTCATGGCCTCCCTGAAGTTCGGTCAAATTACACATACCATAAAAGAATGACCTTAGTTGAACGTAGTCCCGTGAGGTTTGGCATGTGAGCTCAACAGCCCCTCCCTTAAACTAACCATTAGAACTGTCCAAGAATATTTATGTAAAGACTAATTTACCCTTTTGCCTCGTGCGAAAAGATGTTAATAATCTTACAAGGTGATGTGAAATTACAAGAGTACTACTAATCAAGAGTAACCAAGCAGCTTCCTCTCTCCTCATTTTTTCTATCTACAACTCTCAATCCTGCTTCCTCACTCCATCATTTCAAAATACTTAAAAAGGTATATGTATATATACCTATGCATCCATCAGTTTAATCCTCACATTTAACTCTGTAGCTCTCTCTATCTTTTCTTTCCACTGATTTGTGGTTTGCATCCATGGCTACCATGGAAAGAACAGTGCATCGTAGAGACCCATATGGGTGCTTCATGCTCTCTCTCTCTCTCTCTCTCTCACACACACACACACATTTTGGAGATTCCAGGTCCCACCTTCCCTTGGATGGCCATTTGGAGATCGAATTTCCCTCTGAAGGTGTCTTTTTTTTTTGCTTGGACAGCTGCCCTTGAGAGGATTCTCACCTTACACAATCTTAGGAGGCGACGGATTGTGGTGAACTGGTGTTGCATGTGCAAGAAGGCGGAGGAGTCGATGAATCACCTTCTTCATTGTCTAGTGGCGAGGGATGTTTAGTCTTTGTTCTTGGTTGCGTTCGACATGCATTGGGTGTCCCCCGGATCTATGGTGGGCATGATTCAAGCTTCGAGAGGGTGTATAGTGGATAGCCAAGCCGGAGGGCCACTCCCCTTTGTTTATGGCGGGGTTTATGGGGTGAGAGAAATAGGAGATTCATTGATGGAGAGGAGACTCCTATTTGGTCTCTCAATTACCACAATGTGATATTGTGGCCCAAATTTTGTTTCGAACCGGGTCGATTGACGCAAAAGAAGAAATTTTTTGACCCATTTTTTGCTTGCGGGTTTTGGACCCTATTTAGTACTCTCTTATAGCCAGGTATATAAGGGCACTTAGGGTTTGGAGTGGGATTAGAGAGAACACTGAAAATTGCAGAAAAGAGAGTGAGAGCAAGAGCTAGGGTTTGGGGACTGAAACTTGTAATCTCCTGATTTTCGCATAGTGAAATCGTTCATTGGATCTTCACCATGGACGCAGACACAACTTGTGTCAAACCACGTAAATCTTTGTGTCTTGGGTGGTGCTTGTTGTTTGTCGTGTTTCGTGATTGTTTCTTGGTTCGTGGCTCTTTGTCAAAAAAAAACTGCTATCAAAGCTTTCAGTTCGAAGTAGGGATGGCGACCAAGTTTCTAGAAATTGAGAATTTTAAAGGCAGAAATGAATTCAACCTGGTGGGTTAGGATGCAGGCCCCGTTGGTTCAACATGAGTTATCCAGGGAAGGGCAACACTGCCTGAAAAGTTAAAAGGATGAAACGAAAGATGAAGTTATGAAGAAAGCACACAGTACAATTCTATTGTGCCTGAGTAACGAGGTTTTGCAAGAAATTTCCCAGCAGACCACTCCAGATAGGTCGTGGAAGAAGTTGGAACTCCGTTGTATGACGAAATCTCTTGCGAACTGCTTGTATTTAAATAAGCGATTGTTCACTTTTCAAATGCATGAAGGTTCATTTTGAAAGGCCACCTTGACAAGATAAATACTGTCATCATGGATTTAAAGAATATTGATGTTTCATTATCGGATGAGGTTCGGGCTATTATTATGTTATGTTCTCTACCACCCTCGTATGAACTTTGTCGATACGATGATGTATGACAAAACTGTTTTGTCCATGGAAGACAAAAAGGTATCTTTAAATTCTAAGAAGTTGCAAAAAAGCGCTTTTGAGGTACAGAAAGTTCGGCAAAGGGGCTATTTGTTAGAGGGAGAAGGATCAGATTGGAGGGTCTGGCAGTAGAGGTCGTTCCAAGTTCAAGAGCAAAACAAAGGTGCCAAGCTGCTACACGCAAGGAACAACACTTCAGGAAAGACTGTATGGAGCGTAAGAAGGGAAAGGAAAAAAAATTCTGAAACCGATAGTGTGGTTGTTGCAGAGGGTAATGATTCAAATGGTGGTAACGTTCTCACAATTTCTGCCTATGGCTTTGGCGATGAGTGGATTCTTAATTCGAGTTGCTTGTATCACATTTGTCCCAACAGGGATTCGTTCACCTCTTATCGTTCCATTGATGGAGGGAAAGTAAGTCTTAATGGGGAACAATGTATCCTGCAAGGTTGTAGGTATCGGTACAGTTTGAATCAAGATGTGTGACGGCATAGTGAGGACATTGACTGACGTCAGGCATGTACCAAAACCGGAGAAGAAGTTGATTTCCCTGGGTTCGTTGGATTCAATCAAGTACACTTACGAGGTTGGAGGTGAGGTATTTCGGGTTTCAAAGGGTGTTATTGTGGTGATGAAAGGATTGAAGCAACATGGTTTGTATGCATTGTAGGGTAACACAATCACGGGTTCAGTTAATGTATCATCCTTGATCCGGATTCAAATACTACTCATAGATCTTCACAAATTCATAGGTACAATGGATTATATCCATTATGATATTGGGGGTCTCTCCCACGTTGCTTCACATGGTGGTGGTAGATAGGGTTGTAATTGAGCCGAGCCGAGTATTGGAGTGCTCAGGCTCAGTTTGCCAAATCCATACATCTGAACTCGAGCTCAATCGAACCTAAACCAGGCATGTTCGAGCTTGGCTCAACTGTGTTTCAGTAGGCTCGATCCCGGCTCGACGAGCTCAAAAACGTGCTTCAACCTTTGTAGTCGCCAGCATGATTTGTAGGATTAATGCGTGACTAGAGGCCGTGATGGGTCGCATCAATATTCTCTTCGTTATCTTCTCTTGCGACTAGGGTTACTCAGAGTCTCAGACTAAGAAAAAGAAAATAAGGGTGTTAGCAGATATGATAGCCACGATTTATGGAATAACTTATCATATTAGCAGAGATTTGTTAGCCACGAATCATGGCATAGAATATGCCATAAAATATGATGTGATTTGATTTAGATTTGATTAATTTCATTTCTAGTAATATGAGCATGTGCTCTTTTTGTCTATAAATATTAGAGCTGTGAATGAGATATTTAATCTCATTCATACCTTTTACATATTTCTCTTTTATTTCTTCTATATTGTATTTCTTCTTGGTATTAGAGCCAAGGTGGTCCGACTGCAATGAGGGTATTGCGCGTTTGGCACCACCCATTCGAAAATGGTCTAAGGTGGCATCACCCATCCCGTAGGTGTGGGTATACAAGGTGGTCCAACCTCAATGAGGTTGTTGCGAGTTTGGCACCACCCATTCAGAAATGGTCAGAGGAGACGTAGTTGTTACTTTTTTTATAGTCTGAGGAGATATTGTTGATTCTTTCCTCTACATTGTTTAAACATATGTATGAAGGGAAATGGTCTGAGGAAACATTATTAATTCTTCCATATACATGTTTTAAACATGTGTATGAAGGGAAATGGTCTGAGGAGACATTGTTGGTTGTTTACGGTCTGATGAGATATGATTCGTTATTTATGGTCCGAGATTACATTGTTGATTATTTATGGTTGATCGACACTTCATTTGAGAGAAAATCATCGCTAGTCAGATTTGTACTCTGCAACTTGTAGATTCTGAAGAGGGTGCTAGCAAAACCGTGTTTGAATATGCATTGTCCAAGTTGGGAGTCTCAAATATCCACGCACCAACTTGAGGGGGAGTATTAGCAGATATGATAGCCACGATTTATGGAATGACTTGCCATATTAGCAGATATTTGATAGTCACAAATCATAGCATAGAATATGCTATCATTTGATTTAGATTTGATTTAATTTCCTTTATTATAATATGAGAATGTGCTTTTTTTATCTATAAATACTAGAGTTGTGAATGAGTGATTTAATCTAATTCATACCTTTGATATATTTCTCTCCTCTTTCTTCCATATTGTATTTCTTCTAAGGGTTTGTGGGTTATATACAATATGACAGTTGGGTTAGGGAAAGAGTGGGCTCAGCTGTTTTTTTTTTTTTTTTTTTTTGATAAGTTTGGCTATTTTAATTTTAAGAGTAATGGGTTGGATCTGTTTTAATTTAAGAGGAATGGTTTGGACTAACTTGTTTTATGCACTATCTTTAACTAATTTAAGGCCTAAACTTGTTTATCTAAAAGTGCATATAATTAATATAGATATATATATGTATATTAGATTATCAAGTTTGTTCACGAACACGTTCATG